AATACTCCTGAGAGTTGGCATGGTAACATATATACAGGCACGTATATTCTGTAGCTCTGCTTCTCATCCGGCTTGCACTCCCCTCGGGAGTCACAGAAGCAATCAGGAGCATCAGAAAGCACAGAAAATTTTATTACCATGTAAAATAAAGAAAATTTTGCTGCAGCACCACTCCTCACACATCCTTACCCTTCAAGGTCATGTATTCCCTGTCAAACATATGAAATACTCTCTCACACACACTGCACATGAATTTCTTAATTTATAGAGGCTGACAGCTTTCATAATTGATACAATTTTAACCCTAATAGGGAATGCAAGAGAGACTCTCTTATGGTGATTCTCATGAATAAGGAGTCATCAGCCTGCCCTAGTATCAGCAATTTTAGCCTAACTTCCTAGTTAATAAACCCAATTCCTCAAAGTGTTCTTCCATCCCATCAAGTAAGTCCTCCCCCTCAGTAACGAAAATTGATTCAAATAACCAGTTTGACAGTTCCTCATTTCCTCTGCTGTCTTGGGCTCTTGTCACATACTGTCCTGAGGAGGAATGAGGAGAGAAGGTTTCATTTCATGTTGAACCTGGCGTGAACCAGGGGACCCAAAGGAAAGGTGGGCAGACCCCCGTAGGAGTATGGGAGGCACAGCGCATCCACCCCAAAATGTCATCGCTGGTCCTTGGAGGCGACTTCTGAATGGAGACCGAGTGCAGTGAGTAGCCTGTGCCAAGTTAAAAACACAAAACAACAAGAACAAAACACATAAGAAAGAAAACACCTTAAATAGGGGGAAACCACTGTTTCAGTATTTCTGAAACAAAGCGTTTCAGATCCCTGTGTAAGAGGTACAAGAGCTAAAGGTGCTGCTTTCCAGCCCCGGGCAGGGACAAGGGGACAGGCTTCTCCCCCCTTATCAGGGTGGACTTTGAGGTAGCAGCAATTTAGTTTCAAATCCCAGCGCTGCTCATTTCAAAGCAGGGCCTCAACACCCTCGTCTCCCGGCAGTATGAGTTTCTGGGGCAGTTCTTTCCCACTCTCTCCCGCTGAAGCTGTTCCATTCTTCATAAATATCTATATATTTTTTAATTATAAGAGTATATTTAAATGCATTCAATGTGAGACTGAAGGCAGGGACGGGAGGTGCAGTCAGTAAGCGTAACAGGGACATAAACTCTCCCCCCGCTTTCAGGCTTCGCAGGTCTTTGAGACGAGAAGACCCTCCCATGCCTCCCTGCAGCTGAGTACATAGATGACATCTGCAGCCTGTTTTCCAGAATACGAATATTTTTAATTTGTTAGTGCTGAGAGGCACATCAGATATTACACTTTTGCCTTCGGGATATATGCGGACAGGAAGAAGGAAAGTCACAGAGAAAAAAGTTGGCAATAAAATCTATAATCACTATTTCTGACTTGTTATCAACAGTTGCCGCATTTCTTAATCTGGCATTTTAACTCAAAGACCTAACAAAAAAAAGGGAATCACCTGAAATGATGGCGTATCAGGCTCTTGGGACTCTTTTTAGAGGGCTGAGGATACTCGTTATCATGCCTCAGAAGAGGCCCCCTGCCTCCACTGATGCCCATATTTTCGAGAATGGGTGCAGAGACCAGGAAGTCCCGGGTGGGTCCTTGACAAAGGGGCTGCCACCTCCGGCCCTCACAGCCTGCTGGTACTCACAGCGCTTGCAACGGCCTCAGCGCCTGCCTCTTGCAGTGGAGAAACCCAAATGAATGGATTTTCTCCATTTTTCCAATGCTTTTTCCAAGCATTGCCGTCAAAAAGTCCACTGTGTATTACTGCTACTGTACACGACAGCTGCTTATCAAAAATTGTAATGAAATTGGAATTAAATTCTTAAGGAGCTGAATTCCACCCGCCCCTCGCTCCCCTGCCTCCAGCCCACACAAAGGGAAGCGGAGGAGCCCAGTGCTCCTGCCCACAGGAGGATACCAAAACCAGGCCATTTCTTTCACCTCTTTACAGAGCACTCCCTCCCTCCAAACAACTTATAATCAAAAACTTGAAAAACTCTTATCCTCCCCAACCCTTCTTCCTCTTAGCTTAAATAAAAAAATCTCAGAAAATGTCTTCCCTTTTAACAGACACAAGAAACTCATTTTAAGGAGTGGTCCTCTGTTCCCAGGAGGAATTGCAGAGCGCTCACTTCCCCAGCCACAGCACCGAGGCTGAAGTCTTGCGGGAAGACAAACGTACGGTCTTTGGAGCCTGCTGCCGAGAGAAGCTCCTTTGCAAAGCAGGTGTCGTGGTTACTTTCCAGACTAATTGCAGAAGGCACATGGCAGGTCAGTGAACGCCCACTGACTGCTTTTGCCTGCAGTCAGGCTGGACACGGTTTTCTCGCATGCTAGCAAAATCTGTTTATCTGCTGGCTTAAACACTTGGTGAATGATGTCTCCAGAGCTGGAACTGTACTGGACATGCACTGTCTATATTATGATCTATCTTCCTCTGAGAGTGTCTCTAAATTGGATGCCTGAGTCTGAAAGCCTGTTGCATTGATGCCGTACCTGACTCAGGGACAAGAGCTACGAGCTCTCCTGTAACGAACAAATACGTTATACTTCTTGCATGCAGCAGGGAAGGTGCATCTGCGTGCTGAACCCGAGGTGGATAGTCTTCCTTGCTTTCCCAAGGACTTCTCTGGAAAAAAAAAAATCACAGAGCATTTAAAAAAATCCTTTCAGGGTGACCTCCTGGCTTGTAGAGGGCACGGCTTCAGATCAGATACGTGCATGGCAAACCTGGGATTTTAGTATGGTCTGCCCATGCACTGCAGCGTTTTAGCACTTGAGCAAGCCCCCGCCGCTTACGTTGCCCCAAATCCACCTCCTCTTCCTGCCTGAGTCAGCCCTGGCACAGAAAAGTCAATGCACTGTGCTGTGGTCGGCAGCAATCATTTGTAATTAAACTGAAGACATGCCCTCTGTAGACCTGTGCATAAAGCCATGCTGCTCAGCAGGTGAGACTACGAGGGGAAAAAGGTCTAAAATGGAAACCGAGCTGCTTAGACATTTATAGCTCATGACATTCCACCAGATTTGTTTTCCTTTACTGCCCGTAAGAAATAACGCACAGAAAATGACACATGCTTTGCGAAGAGAGGAGGCAGGTGCTGCTGATGTGACCAAGGATGCAGCAAAGAAACAACACATAAAACTGTGCAAATTGTTTCTGCAGGACTAAAGGAGCAGACACAGAGGAGTGGTTGCCTTAGCCCTAACAGGAGCGTCTCTGGAGGCATACACAAGCCTCAGCATTTTCTATAGGAACACAGGCTTGGTCCTGCGTTTGCCTAACTCTAACCACTAACCTTTCAATTCTACTGTCTCCTTCCCATACCCCATTGGGACTTATAAGCAAATATTCAGTGACCTGGGACTAGCAAAATGACAACTAGAGAAAAAGGCAGTGCTGGAGAGCTTAGTTACTAGCAAAATAATCAAGCCCAGTAGCTGAGGGTGAAGTGGATACTTGAGAAAGTCACACTGAAAAAGGAAAGACTGGAAATAACAGGGGAATGGATGCACCCAACATAGTGCTTAGGTCTAAGAGGGCTCAAACAGAGGGGAAGTACCTACCTTTATAGCTACCTCCCCCTGCCCCAGGTGGCCCAGCTTTCATGGCTAGAAGCATTTCTTACCTCTTTCAGCAGAAAAGAGGCTTTGTGAGTATTTACCATGTCCTTCACAGGTGCTTCACAGCTACTTCTCTGCTTATGGTTGTTGCCAGCAGCATTGCCCATTTTGACTTATCAAAAGCAACAAACAACTGGAGAAAGCAGGACTGGCCTCCAGAAGAGCTGTGTAGCTCCCAGGAGCCCAATCATGCCCTGAGCAGAGGGCTAAGCAAATATTTTCTTTGAGAATAAGCTATTATTTAAAAATATCCTTCTAGTCATTCTGAAAACTGGTGACGAATTCTAGCTGAATATAGGGACTCTTTCTAGTTCAAGCTCCTGCTCCTGCAAACCAACTGATAGAGCAATAAGCGGGGCTCAGGTTCATAGTTTGTCTCCTCGCAGCAGCTGAGGCCAGTTGGGACCCGTGTGTGACATCTGGGGGACCTGGCATGGGATCCCTCTTCCACCAGGGATCTGAACAAAATCAACTCTTTGCACAGGTCTACTAATTAATCACTGAAACTTCAATAATAGTATTTTAGCACTCGCTGCATACCGACTCTAACACTAATTATTTGCTTAAATCTCATTGTCTTTTAGTCAAACAATATATTTTTCCTGACAAATAAAGCAACATTCAGCCTTAGCACTAAGGTACAAGATATTAATGCTAATGGGCCTGTTTGTTAGTGAAAGCTGATTAACCGGGGTGCCACAGAAGCCCAACTAAGAGAGAACTTAACGCTCATAAATCCTGCCGTTTTGGCCTTCTGTTGTGTGAACCTTTCTACCTTTGTTAATCAGATGATTATATCAAAGTCTTAATTATTTCACTCTCATCCCAAGCAGAGTGTCTAACGTGGACTTTACTATCAAGTAGGTATTTGGGAGGGGGAGCTGACTGTGCAAGCTCACAGCACCGTGCAGAGTGAAAACATCCAGAAATCAAAGGCTTCCAAAAAGGCCCTACAGTGGCATTACCGCAGGTGGCGGTGTCATCCGCTGCTGTGGCACTGTACAATGGCTCCTCCAGATGTGCTCGGGACGCATTTCATCTCTTGCTATCAGTTACATTTTGTTAGATTTTTTTTTTAATTCATGCTTTGGAAAAAAGAATTGGTGGGGGGGGTGGGGGCTGGAAGGGGGCAGACATTTGCACTACGGAAACCACATTGGCAATTTCTTCTTGCTTTTGTTCTGCTTCAGACTCGTTTTCAGCAAGGCAAAGCAGAGGGCCAAACCAGAAAGGGCAAAGAAATATGTAAGACCACCGAGCTTCTTCATGAAGTATGCATCCACGTCGCTAAACAAGTTCAAACGCATAACCAAGCCTTCTCCCGTTTCCCGTCATCTTTCGAAAGCCATCCAACAGCTGTCTCCAGCCTACGCTGTATCATCTCCACACTTACTCCTGCTCCTCACAAACGCTGCTCTGACCTAGGCTGTGACATCTCAACAGCATTCACTCAACGCAAGCGTCTTCCTCGGTTGCTTTGAACAGGGTGCACGGGCTGGTGCGTGCCCGGCCCCCGTCAGCCCCTGGGGCCGTCCTGGCCGGCACAGGGCAGCGGGAGGTGTTTTTGGCAGGGCTCTGCGCCTCGCTGACCACCTGCCCAGGACAAGCTGGGTGGTGACAGCGCTGAAGGGCCGTGCCAGCGTTTCACTCCTCCGCCTTCGCCCGCCCCAAAGCGGGTCCTTGCTGGCTGCATCTTTAGGCTCTCCCTTCGGAGCGGGGTGGGGAAGAAAAAGTGTCACCCTCGCCCAAACCCACGGACCAAGGTCGGCCAGCAGCGAGCGGCGCCGCGAGGGCGAGTCTGGGAGCTTCAGTAAGTGGCAGATGGACTTTCGCCAGAGGTTAGAGTCAAGAGGATTTTTCAATATGCCTTTTTTTTTAATCTCCTCTTAAACAGACCCACTCAAGGAAAGCTGTAATTATTTTAAGCTCTTTTTTCCCCTCCCCCTTCCCATTCTGCAACTGCACTTGCCTTTATAAGTCCTCAGAGGCAATTTCATGGAAGAAAATATGCCTTTTTTTGTTTTTTTAATTCTGATGCATTTCTAGCAACACACTTTATTGGGAACAGGGTTTTTTTTTTTTT